TTCGTGTCAACGCCAGACATACTGACATTTACCGCTAACCGCATTATCGTAGATTTTAACGGTAAACCAAAGAAGATTTACACGCCAATCGTTTGTGATAGAGTGATTAACATACAAGGAATATCAGCTGCTCACTACGATGACATGGACATTGAGTGTACATTACTTGCCGCTGTTGTGCATAAAGGGCCAAGCATAAACTGTGGACACTTTGTTTCCTATGTTTTTAATACAGAAAATACGGCAATTATTTACGACGACGAAAGGGTGCAAGTTATTGACAGCAATAAACTACTTACGTCAGACTACTTTATGAAGAATGTTTACATGTGCTTTTATGTGAAAGGCAATAGATGGTGTAGTCCAAAAATAGAAAGAGAAATCCAACACAAAACGGAGCGTGGACATGTGACAAATGTTGAAACTACAGAGAACGTTCCTTGGGCTCTCAGTGAAAATGAGTTACGTCAAGTTAAGCAAATATGGAGTTTTAGGAAAAAAGTGTTTTTTATGAGATGCACAATATCCTCGCACCAACTGCCGACTCTTCAACCTGGTCACTGGCTTGGTGGAGATGTTGTGAACGGGTTCTTGCAAGGATTGTTGACTCAGTATTCAAATGCCTCATGTCCTTCATTTCATGTCTTTTCAAGTTACTTATACACTGATATTGCAACCAAGTCGAAAAGACAAAGCATTATCCGTCAAGCAATGGCAGTTGACCCAATGAAGTATGAAATGTTGTTCTTTCCAATCAACCATGAATCACACTGGATTTTGGTGGTATGCTTCCCTGTTTCGTCTATTCTGGTGTACTTTGATTCTTTGATAACCATAAATATTTCTGTTTTTGGTCATGTACTTGGACTAATAGAGGCCTTGTTAACCACACACGGACATCAGTTTGATCATGAGAAATTTTTGTTCCTTGCCCCAGATGATATTCCTCGTCAGCAAGATGCATGCAGCTGTGGTGTTTATGTTTGCATGAACGCTGTTACATTAATACAATCGCCTGACATACCCATTTACTCCTGCAAAGACATTACGAAAATTAGGCTGTGGATGGTTAATTTCTTGGTTAAAACACATAATGTAACAAAACCTAATTCCGGAAGGAAGAGAGATGATCAGATTGAAATACCACTGATAAATTATTTAGCCGTTCGCAGTTCTGATATAGCGAGAAAAGTGCCGTCATGCAGTATTTCAACTGGTACATCTGTTTTCCATGACATCCATGCCTTATCGTCTTCCCGTAAATTATATCCCCAAATCAGTGTTGATCTAGATGAGCCTGCAAAAAAAAGAGTAAATGCGAAAGCGGCGAAGGACACATTGTCGCCATTGTCATTGGGAGAGGAATTATTAGGTAATAAAAATATCAATTTGTTCCTTTTGCATGTGCACACCATATAAATCTTAGGCCTAGAATGTGGGCTTGGTCACTTGACCGGTGTCCAAATTGAAAATAAAAATGTCCTTATAAATCAAACCTGGCATGGTGCAAACTGCAAAGTATAAACAAAGCGAAACTATAAGTTTTCATGCTCAAAACGTTTTGTCTCGCTGTCTAATTTGTCAATAAATGGACTTGAAATCTAGTCTAGTCCGAATTCGAGGATTTGAAATGACATCTCATACGAATCACTATATACATTTATATCTATCTATCTATCTATCTATCTATCTATCTATCTATCTATCTATCTATCTATCTATCTATCTATCTATCTATCTATCTATCTATCTATCTATCTATCTATCTATCTATCTATAGATGAATAGTAGGACATTTTGTAACGTTTTCTATCTGCCAAAATAAATTCTAGGTACTTAAAGTAAAACAATTCATTCTTTTAACAAATTGAAGAATTCTGGTCATAATACATTCCATAAAAAGTTTGGAGCTTTTGTTTAAAAAAAAAACTTGCTGTCTTTTAGAATGTAGGAGATAGGTTACAAAAATGCACAACCGGTTGCTTAGGTCTAAATTTGCTAAAAAATCCAGTTGATCAGTGCCAAATGATAAAATATGGTGTTGTTAGGACATGTTAGTCGATTATCTTCACAGTCACTAACCCTTGTTATCGTTATTTCTTTTTGGGCAAATTTTCAAGTAAGAATATTATGAGTGTTACTCTGACTCGCTTTCAGTTTTCACGAGATACAAATTTATATATGGTAATCAATTTCACCCCCTAAAATTCATCCAAATTTAATGAAATTTGCACTGAATATGAAGACATGTGTATTGTCAAACATGTCAAAATTTGGGATGCATTTGATTTTTCTTTTTACTTAATTTTTAAGTTTATATATATAAGCCTAAGTTACAAAAATGCCCTACTGCGAGAAAAAAAAAGTTTTTCAGAATTTTGTTAGAAAATGAGGTAATGTCTATCTTATTATTAGTAATGGGTCCAAACACGTGTAGAAAGTGGTATACGAAGTTTGGTGGGATATTATTAAATTTAAGGCAGTAAAACAAAGGTTTTTAAAATTACTGAGCTATAAACATTTAACTGGATTGCTCAAATCAACCTAAACACATTTTTTCTTTTGAACTCTAATGCTGTTATTTTTGATAAAACACAAAAAAAGTATGACTTTTCCTTACATGAAAGCATCCTGTTACCCAGATGCGTTCATTTTTCAAAAATTAAAAATTTTTACAAACTGTCTAGCTTTGTCAGTTTCGGCCTTTCCTTTCAAAACGTTTTTGAATATATACGTAATTCTGAATAAATTTTTGACTACTTGTGAAAGCCGTATAAGCCACTACGATACAAGTTACTAATAATAAATTACCGTAATTCTCAATAAATAGGTTTTTTACGTCACCACAAACAGTTAAAAGTACCCAGATACTTAGTAAATCTTGCAACCTTAATTGCACTTGTTTTACCATTATTTTGGCTTCCCAGTCAAAACGTCCCCAGGTCGAAACGTCCCGAAATCCAGGTTCGCAATGGACGACTTGCCTTATAGACTAAAGTTAATCGCATAAGTCTAGAAAAAAATTTCATCACAGCTTTTTCATCATCACTTCGTTTAACTAAAAGTAACTGCATTTTACTGATGGATGCTTGATAAGAAAAAAAGAAAAGCCAAACAAAGTCAAAAGAACCATGCAAAATCGAGAAATTTGCCTCTTTTGCACCAAATGGACGACTGACTTAATTACCTTCTAGACAAAATTTTGATCACCTAAAGTCTAGATTAAAATTTCATCACAGCTTGAAAGAGCATCACAGATTAGTAAAATTCCAAAGTTGGATATAATATGCGGATAATATAGCCTTGCGAAGTTTGCAATTATTCAATGCAAAATGACAGAAAAAACGGCAAACTTTGCAAGGCTATATTACCCACATTTTACAACATTTCACAACGAAACATTACTTGGAATATTACTAATTTTGTGATGCTCTTTCAAGCAGTGATGAAATTAATTTTTGTCTAGATTTTATGAGATAAAAATTTAGTCTATAAGGTAATTCATTCATTGACAATGGTACATAGATATTCGATCATATTACACCCGATCGCATTTTTGGCAATTCTCCCGTTCGTTTGGACTGTAATCATTGACATTGTATTGAAGAATATATACAAAGAAAGAGGTTTGAGCAAAGGTAAGGCAATTATTGTTATGTTGTAGCATTTGTATAATGGCCAGATATTTTACCCTTCAAGATTTCTAAAATACCCTGTTAATCAATGCGGTCTGATTTGAATTTTAGTATTTGATAACTTTTAAGCATTTTTACGTTTGGAAATATAGTTTATATCGTACAACCAGCCCCTGCTTACTATTTTTTGCTTACTTATAAAGCCGACAGGCACAAAATATATCTCAAAATAGATTTAAACAGTATATATTTTAACAAACATCTATCAGCATCACGCACGTAGGTCATATTTCATATTTTTAACATTGAGTATAATGTAGTCAAGGCAGAGCTTGTCATTAAATATGATGTGATGTGATAGCAAACTGTGGCCATATGATACTGTGTGATAAATATTGTTTATACAGGGCTTTTTTATATATAGTTATACCTACCTAATTTACATAATATTTAGGTAGCAGTTACAGTATACATACTGTAAACATGTCTAGGCTACATAAGTGTCATTGCTATGCTAAGCTACAGAGCTCTTCCACTGATATGATATCGTCTGGCATTAGCCTTAGTTTATTATTGTTGAGATTACTGTGTAAAAATGATACAGGGCTTTGTTATACCTATTCTTCTCGACGATTACTATTACAATCCTAGAATACAACTTATCACATGTCAAGTAATAATTTTAAGGCCTGTTCACATGAGCCCGGGACTGCCTGCACATCTGGTTAACCGGACTGGTTTTTGAGTGCCAAGATTCCACCTCACATATTGTTTCTTGGCTAGATATCCCGGCTTGCCGGGATCACATGAGTTCACAACTGAGCTAGCCCGGCAAGCCAGACTGGAAATTTGCATGTTTTACTTACATGCTAATAAACATTCTAAAAAGTTCATGTCGAGTTAATGCAGCAATCTATATATATATGTAACAGTACTGCAAATTTATATGTAATTTGAAAATGTTTTGCTGTTTATCTATATAGTAACAAAGTATAGATATAGCAACAAGTAAATCAACTACAGTAGATGAAACTAGAATACAGTTTAGAATAAGACTATATAGGGGGCAATTTAATAACCCTTACCCACTAAATCAGGGCTGCATAAAATATTTTATTTTCTGGGACCACAAAACCAAAGAAAATATTTTCTGCCCACAAACATTGGGAATCATGCAACCTCGTTCCCAGGGCTTTTCCCTTTTTGTCATTGGGAAGGCGGGAAAAGGCCCTGGCACCGGCCGGTCACATGACTTTCAACACCAAGATATAGTGGGTGTAATAAATTATAATAATAATGATTAGAAAATCCAAGATGGCCACCAACGTAAGAGTGTCCACAAAATTTAAGTGCTTAGAGCAGCTTAAAAATGTGTTTAGTCTTTGTAATTTTTCCTTCTTTTTGCTCCGACGTACTCAAAATCAAATTCTTCAGCTTTTATTACATGGGAACTATGTAGTTGCTGTTCTTCCAACTGGGTTTGGTAAATATTGTTTGTTCGCTAAACAAAATTAACAGTCAAAATTATTATAGTATTACGACAGATGTTCTCCAGCTGGACAGGCTTGCTTAAGAGGACACGGAAAGTGTTGCAATTTATTGCAAAATGGTGGGGTATTTGACCAATATTTATTGCCTGACGGTGGGGCATTTGATTGAAAATTTGCTCACAAAATCAAATGCCCCACCTATGCCCGACCCCCCCCCTGGGGCTTAACATTGATAGGTGCATTATATTATAAAGTGTCAATGGTTGGAATATTTATTCATTGATATTTTAAACACAGATGAAGAGCTATGTGCCCTTTCCTTGCTTACATTTTCCTTGCAGTCAAATGCTGTTGAAGCTGGCACGCTGCAAAACTGACATATGAGTGATATGACCCAAATATTGGATATGCATTTAGTTTGCTTCCAGTAAAATGTAAACAAGACCTTAAGAATTCTATACAGTATGAGATAAGAAATATTACATTTAAAATCATGACTGGCAAATTAACATGTGCGAATTGATGTTTCCTAATAATAGTATGTACTCCAGTAAAGCTTGCTTGCTTCAATTCTTGCTGTTACCATCTGCACATTATCAGGGTGGAGAGTTGATTTGAATATTTTGTTCCAGGGCATAAAGGTAGGGAATAGATTTTCCATCACAAAAGGGGCAAGTTAGAAGATGGCATGTACTTTAAGTGACCATTCATTATACCCTAGGGTGGGTGGGAGATTCTTATGTCAAAATGTCATGGGACCCCTTTTTTAATCTCTTAATTTAATAATGGAGAACCCTCCTAAATATTTAAGACTATATAACATGATGCAATTCTAATCTTCATTCATGTGAATGCCTGGCTATGAAGAAAATACATTTTGCAACTGACAGGGATATCCCCAGCATGATCTGGTGGGGGTGGGGGTGCTCTGCCAGCTCTGGTGCCGAGTTGTGTTGGTCATGTGTGCCACCTGCCCATCAACTTGCTTCACTACTGCAAAGTCTTGCTTTGCTACTGTATTTGAATTGTAATTGTTGTTCACAGCTCACTCATCATGTTATTACTCAAATTGCATCTCATTTTGCCTCTAATAATTTTTTGCTTTAATTATCATGAAAAATAGCACCCCCTCTGGCCAGGGCTAGGGGGGTGCACGCCCCCCAGTAAATCCATCCTTGTTGCAACATACACTATAAGAGCTAGAATGATTGCTTCCTTTGGATGATTTGTCTTAGAATTATATTGCCTCTATTACAACAATTCTTCCTGTTCTGAAACCAGTTGCTATTCTGTGTTTTACAACACTCACCCCCCCCCCCCCCAAAAAAAAGACTCAACAAATCAAGGCCCCCTCCAAGGCAATTTTGCCAGCACAATAGATTTAATTTGATGGTAACTGTTCTAAGAATATATTAACTCAATGAGTGGCAGCATTCTGCCTAGACTTGCCACAAGTCGACCTCGAACGAAACGCAAGCAGCGAGCGTGAGCCGACGTTTCGTTCGAGGTCGACTTGTGGCAAGTCTACAATCTGCCCTTGAGTAAAATTGTCTGGCACCAGACGGAGTAATATACTAAAGTAGGGCACATTGCCACTATAAAGGGTTAAACAAATTAAAAAAATGTTTGCAATGGTCTATATTCAAAAAGCTCTATTTGTAAATTTTAATTGACTTTTATATACCTACTTATACTTATAGCTACCTTGCCCCAGTCACTTCAAGTGAATTCTACGGGAGGAGGGGGACATTGAAATCCCTGGATTTACTTGGTAAAAGCAAGAATTGAACCATGCATTACATGTATATGGAGAGCAGTTTTAAATATATTTTATCATGCAAATTCCTTGATAATTGTTCTTAAACGTCTTTGGCTTAGAATGGGTACACCCCCAAAAGGTGTTTATTTACAGGGTCCAAAGGTGTAAATATACACTGTCCAAGGTGTTAATATAAACAACAAAACAATGTATATAATTAAATTTTATTAAATAAAATGTGGAATATTTTACAAATTGCAATTACCATCCCAAAGTGTACAATTATCAATATAATTAGGACTTAGAAGCTGTTCACATGAGTTTAACTCTGACCCAGCACCCTTGGCTTAGCTCCCCTTGCCCGATCACAAGTAGAAAACCTCCAACCCCCTCTGACAAATCAGTCCAGATCTGTCCAAGAGGCAGGATTTTCTGGAATATTATTAGCAGTGAAATTGTTGCATATTTTCAAGCATGCATTGTAACCTGATTTTAAAGCCTGTTTGAGCATCAAACATTGTGGCCATGACAAGATGGTCCAGCCATATGAATCATAAAAACAATGCAATTTAAGGCCAGACAGCCCAACTCCTGTGAACAGCCCTTTATTACACCTCTATGATTACACATTCGAAGCATCTCTTGAGGCATCAAAGTACAAAATTTAAAAAGATATAACAGAAATTCAAATGCACAATTTGTAGCCATAGGGTGAGGCACCGATTTCAAAATATTTTAGTACTGACAATAACAATATTAAAACTGATACATAAATTGTGAACTGCACGTAGAATAAAAAGTCGTTCAAATAAAACTGACAGACAATAAATAAAACAGCACTATGCCACGTTTGTTTACGTACAGATAATAAACTGTCAAACTACAGGAAATGAAGTCAAACTAGTGATGTACTGTACGTCCCACCACGTGATCTTCGCACATGCTCGATAGAAAGTCGTTTGTTTGCTCGCAGTGGTTTCTCCTCAGCTCCGAAACCACTGCCAGCAGGGTAGACGTATACAGTATCAACGTGGCTACAAAATAAATATTCTTTACAGTATATTTTAATTTAACAACAAACATTTACATTTTAATGGTAATGAAAGTGACCACTGGGAACTGTCTGCAGTTTAAGATTCTAGATTCTTATAATTTTAATATATTTGTTATGAATATCATCTTAATTAATGGATGAAAGTTCATGAGAAGGGCAGAAGGCTGTTGTGTATTGGAACATATTGCTTAGATTTTTTACTACATTGTAAGAAATCACCACATTCATAGACTTTTTAATCCACATACTGTAGTTGTTAAATCAGTTGTATTCATATATAACTGGAGTGGTATTTTCAGAAGTACTAATACACTAGATGAAATCAATTATAACAACTGCATAGAGGATTTCTTCTTAATATCTGCTAGACTGCTGTCTGCTTGTCTTTGACCATAAAACTTAAAAACTTGTATTACTTGCATGTTGCAAACATCACTAGTTCACTACCTACAGCTTATTATTCAATTATGTCATTTTTTCTCATTTCCTTTCTTTCTCTTTACTTTTTTTTCTTTTGAGACTTTTAAGTTTTATCCTCCATCTTTCTCTGCTAACCTCAAAAATTTTCTGGGACCAATGGTCCCGTTGTCCGCTATATTATGCAGCCCTGACCCACTTATACAGCATTATTTAACTACTGATAAGTGGATAAATCACAGTGGATAAGTCTACGAGCAGGAGTGTTTTATCTGATATAAAACCTGAGGTGCAGCTGAGAGTCTTAAGTACATCTGATAATTATCTAACTTACAACATAAAAAGATGCTGTCTCATTGGGATTCTTATAAAAAGAATATCAATTAGGATGAAAATTATATAAAGAATACTAATTAGGATCAACATTACTATAAATAATGCCACATGTGTTTTATCAGATATAAAATCATTCCAAATGACATGTGTGTTATGGTTGACATGATTTGTCACAAAGTTTATGACTTATTAATGATATTTTAATAACAATTTAAAACACTTTTACAAATTTTACCTAGCACTAAACCAGACCCTAATTATAACTACAGTATATTATTATGGGAATGGCGGGTTTAGGATTGACCTGATGTGATCAAAGTAGGACTTTTGCATTGGGTAAATTCTAAGTTTTAAAGGATTTCAAACAAAAATGTTCATGGAAAGTAACTTAGTGTTAATCACCAAGTGAGCTCCCAGCTCCCTTAAACATTCCTAAACAAATCCATTAAAACTTACAATTTACCCAATGCAAAAGTCCTACTTTGATCACAGAAACTTTGATAGTGTAAACCACCATTAAGAGACACTGCATGTAACTATATATTATTGATATTAACCCATATACTTGGCATTTAAATTAACCTACCACTGACAGTCAAATCATCTAGTGTTGTCAGAGTAAATACTGAAGTTGGGTACTTATTTTAGGCACAAAAATTACCAGTCGACAGACAGATGAAAGTTTGATCCCAGCATGATCTAGTTATTTTTCAGTTGCCAAAACTCTATTGATAGCGAGAGGGAAAATTGATGACAGAAACCTGGAACTAGTACCAATACTATATTATTATTATTATTATTAAAACTTATTTACAAACAATAACCCTTCAGCCTACGCTGCTTTTAAAGGGGTTGTTTACATAAAAGAAAGCACAAAATAAATATTTACAAAATAGTATAAGTATTTACAAAATAGTGTAATTGACTAGGAGTCTTTACAATTGGATATTTTATCAACGTAGGTGATTGTTGAGCTTAGTTTTAAAAGAATGTATCGTCAACTGTACGTGAACGTCTAAGATTTTGATAGGTAATGAGTTCCAGGCGGAAGCTCCTCGATATGAAAATGACTTTTTCATAAATGATCTATTAGGTTTATCGAGAGTTAGTTTCCGCCCGTTGCTCCGCATGTGGTGACTTCTATTATCACAGTAGGAGAACATATTACAGATGCACTCTGGCGCTATACCTCGGATAGCCTTAAACGTAATTAGAAATTCTCTTTTTTTAAGAATGTTATCTATTGGATGCCAACCTAGACTCTGGAGGATTGTTTTTGATCTTGTTTCATAGTTTAATCCAGTAATTATACGAGCGGCTCGCTTTTGTAATTTATAAAGTTTTTCCAAATTTGTTTTGTTTCCGTCGTTCCAAACTGTCAAACAGTATGTAAAGTAAGGAACTACCAGGGAATTGTAAATACGTAGTAAGTCGTTGTAAGGTACGTGTGGTTTTGCCTTTCTAAGCAGAGCTATTGCACTTGAAAGTTTTTTGCATTGCTCATTAATGTGTTCAGTCCACCTTAGTTCGTTATCAATTGTAATACCTAAGGGTTTTTTTGCTTAACTTGTTTAATAATGGATCTGTTTATATGTATACGAATATCAGTGCGAAATTGATTAAGTTTTCTTTTTGAGGCTATTAACATAAATTCTGTTTTGTCTGTGTTCAATGTCAACCTATTTGCTTCTAACCAGTCGTTAACATTGGATAAGTCAGCGTCCACTATACAGAAAGTGGCTTGTAGAATATTTCCATATTTCATATAAATTTATAACTCAAATTATGCCAAATTCGTGCATATAGCAAATTATTGGATTTACTGCAATTTATTAAATTCACATGTGATAAAAGATTTAAAATCATAATAATACCCGAAAAAGCCCAACCTCATACCAAAAGCCTCGATTCCAGTATGTACAGTATTTAATGGAGCAGAAAAGTGAGCAAAAGTGCTAAATACATATACCCAATTTAATGATCAGTTTAGTCCATATTTGTGCACACCAGTTACTTTATGTATGCCCCATGTATGCCAAAATGTGTGTTTGATAGATTCTTCAGTCTTTTATAAACCTTCCACATTTTAAACATTTATTTTGTAAACTAAATTCAAGAATTCCGATTCTGAAGGTTAATATTTTATTTAATTTGCTACGTTTCGAGCAGTTTGACTGCTCGTCGTCAGGCCAACTACAACTTTTAATTTTAAACAATGACGTGCACAAACTGTCTCCTTAACCTATGTGATCTTTGCGCGCGCGTGATGTCGTGCGCATCTTAGTAATTTCTTGTTTGAAATAACTGTTTAAAACAGTTTGCCTCTCTGTTAATTGTTCAAAATTGTTCAAAATTGTTCAACGTCTCTCTGCCACTTTGTTGTTCTCTCAATGACTCAATTCCTTCCCTTGCTTTTCTTTGCCTCAATCCCTTCTCCATCGCAATAATTTCAGCTTTTTCCCACTCAATCTCTCCTTTACACTTAACACTGTGTCTTGCCAAGCCACCGTCTTCCTTCCCCATCCTTTGTTCTGCTGATTCTAACTCTCCATTCTTTATGTCCTGTTTTGTTAATCGTACTTTGCTCTCATGTTCTTTCTTCCTTGTTTCAAATTGTCGATATGTCTCTCCTATGTAACA